CTATAAAAGATTAAGAATTTATTGATCTTTAAAATAGATTAAATGAATATATTAGATTATTTGAAGATGAAAAGGATTAAAAAAAGAAATTATCTTAAAAATTAAATGATATAATAATTTAAACAAAATAAGAAAAGTAGGATAGTGATAAAATATATGAAAATAGAATTAAGGATCTATAAGAGTAGATTAAAGAAGAAAAAGGAATGAAATCAAAGTAATCAATGAAAATTAAAGATTTATATGCTGATATAGAAGAAATGAAACATGAATTAAATATTTTGAGAGACAATTAAGCAAGGATTGAAGAAAGGGCTAAAGAAGTTGAAGTAAGAGAAAGAAAAGTAATTGAAAGAGATATGAAATTAAATGAATTATAAAAAGAATTTGATCTTAAAAAACCACCTGAAGAATTAATGTATGATAATAAGAAAGTTAAAACAAAATACAAGTAAGCAAAGAAAAAATTAATTGAAGCAAATTAAAAAATTGTAGTCTTATTAACTAAGCTTAAAGATTATGAATAAAATAATGAAAATTATACTACAAATAATAATAAGAATTTAATTGAAGGAAAGAGTACTTATAATAAATAAGGTTATACAAATACTGACTAATAAAGAAAATAGATGGAAAGATAAATTTTTAAAGATTAATAATATGAGGGATATTATGATTTACCTTAAGATGCTGATTATTTAGGTAATCCTTATCAAACTGAATTTTAAATGGATAGAATCTCTTAAAGATTAAGAGAAGATATTATTAAGTAAAAGAATAGTTTAGAAACTCTTGAACATAAATATAATATATTAAAATGACTTATTTATTTATTTATATTCTATATCAGTAATTTTCAGAATATTAATCAATATTAATTTAATATATGTTATATATAAAATAAATATTAATATTAATGGATTCTAGATAATCAAAAGTAATAGAGAAGATTGAAAAAGCTGGCTTACTCGAGAAGCATAACCAGCTAATTACTTTAGGTTATACTAATCCTTGGTTTAATTTTAAACTTTTAAAAGAGTATAATGGAAATCTGGATTCAGTTATTGTTGCTTAAAATGAAAATAAAAAAAGAAAAGATAAACAAAATGCTAAAGCTCTAAAGATCTTGGAAACTATGGGTTGGTTGAATAAACATTAAGAACTTGTTGAAAAAGGATTTGTTTAACCGAAAAAAAATTTAAAAGCATTACTTGGAACTGAAGGAGATTTAACTAAAAGCATAGATTAATTATGTAAAAAGAAACCCTTTTAGACTGATTAACCAATAGAATAAATTATAGAATAACATGGTTTCAAAGTTTAATATGATAAATTGAAAGAAATGGGATATGACAATTAAAAGAGAATTGTTAGATTGTTATTTAAATTCAATGGAAATTTAGAATCTATAGTTGATAAGTTATTGAATGGTAAAATTGGCAAAAATAAGCATTGTAAGAAAATAGAAGGTAAATGTCAAAAAGACAAAACATCTTAAGAATTCTTGGAATTTAAATAGAAAAAGAAAGAATTCAAAAAGAAACTTGAATAATTAGAATAAAATGGAATTCATCGTCATAAAGCAGTGAAACTTTTAGCTATTTTGAATGGAGATACTGATGCTGTAATCAAATGGTTCAATTAAATTAAACCATAAGCCAAAACTGAAGAATAAACTTTGTAAGAAAAATAAATTCTTGCATAAGAATGAGTTTGAAAAAATTCATAAAGTTAGGGAGGGAGGGTTGGATATATATATATATATATAAATACATATAAAGATAATTTACAAATATTAATATTTCCAAAAGCATTAAATATATATTAAATTATATCAAATGAGATACTCCATTAAAACCTTATTTTGATCTACTAATTCACTTTTATCAAATTTAATTTGAGTAGATGAATTAGAATGAGTTTCAATTTTTTGATATAATAAATTATCATCTTGTTCTTGTTCTTTTTGTTTATTTTAATTTAATTTCAATAGATCAATTATAATTTATTATTATTTTTGATTTAATTAAGATATAAGTTATTTATGATGATTATTTAATGGTTATCTTTTTAATAAACAATCATCTAATAAATAAAGAACTTGTTTTGTTTCATTTTAATGATCCATTCTTTATTGAAATTATAATAGAAATATGTCTTCACTTTTTGCATAAGTTTATCTCTTTTCATTTAATCTGATTCTATCCTCTTTACTTAAATACTCTTTTAAAATAGATGGTTTTGTATTCTTAATTATCTAATTAATAAAATATTCATCATCTAAACCTTTTTGTTTGAAATCATTTAAATATAATGATCCAATTAATGTAACAATTTTTTCTAATTCAAAATAATCTCTAAATTTTAAAACATGATCATAAATAAATACTAAACATTAAACCTAATTCTAATAGAAATAATACATTAACAATATTAAAGAAAATATTTGAAAGCATCCTTTCCACATGTTTTTCTAAATATTTTCTAAAATAAAGTAAATCAGTTGGTTCTATTAAATAATTTTTTTTTGCAATTTCTAATAGAAAATCTATCTCATAATCTTTAACCTTATCGTTTTAATCTAAGAATCTACCTAATGAAATTTCTTCTCTAAAACAATTTATAAAATGAAAAACAAGTGGTTAAGAATGAAAATACAATAGAAAATATGTTATCTAAACTAAATTCTAATAATGAAAATAATAATCTTACTTGATTTAATTGAATATTTTGATTTTTATAAATTAGACATTATAATACTGATTATATAAATATTGCAGACATATTATCGATTAAATCTTTAGTTAAATAATAGTCGAATTCTTTCATAGAATAATTATACTAATTTCTAATCTAAATTTAATCAATTCAAAGATTACTTAGTTTAAAATAATTGGGATAGATTTCAGTTATTCAGTAACTGAAGTTGATAAATTATTTTTACTTTAACTTAATATCATATAGTATTCATTAATTAGATCTTATTCTCGAGCACTAAATAATTAATAATTAATACTTATCAAGAGAGTATCTAAGCCATTGATTAGTTATAAGTGAATTTTTATTAAAAGATAATTATTCTTTAGCAATAATATCTTGAATATTGAGTTATTCATCTTTACAAATAATACAACATCTATGTTAAGTTTTGAGATCATAATCAACAATCTTAATTTTTATATAAATAATAATACAATAGCTTTAAACCTTCCACAATCACAACAAACTGCTCTATTACATCTTTTACATTAATGTTATTTTAATAATCTTAATTAGTAGAAATAATGAATACAATGAGAAATTTCTTTAACAAATTTCACATCTTTGTTATTTTAGACGTGGTAAGGTTTTCTTGATTGTGGACATTTTACAAAGTTAATAAATTTATATGAATGTATATAAATATATATATATAAGAAACATAATTATAATGAATTCAAAATTCATAAAATTAAGGAATAGGATCATGATCATAAAAAGAATTCTTTCTACTTAAATTAGGTGATTCTGCTATAATATAATTATCATCTAATTTATGAAAAGAAAATGGATCATTATAAACAATTAATTGATTATCTTATTTTTTCTCTTCATTTTCTTATTTTAAATCAAATTTTTTAGTTATTGGATATTCTTCTTCAAAACTAATATCATCTTCTTCATATTTAAAAATATTTTTTTTCTCTTATTTTTAATTATTAGCAACTGCTTTCATCAAAATTTATATTATTTAAGTTTTTGATAATTATTCTATTTATTATTCAAAATTTTATTTTAATATTTACTATGGAAGTTAATCAAATGTTGATTTTTCATTATCAAATAACTTTTAATGTTAAATTTCATTTTAAACTTCATCATCATTTTCACTTGTTTATTTAATCATTAAAAGATTATTATTTTAAATATTTTTATGTTTTCCATTTGATTTATTGCCTTATAATGATTATAAAACCCATTTCATTATTTATTCTTCAGAATTTTCATTCTTATGCCTCTTTATCATTTAATAAATACTTATTTTTCATTAGTTCTGTCCACAAATACTTATTTTCTTTTAAAATTTTCTCATTTTATTTTATTAGAATTTTCATTAATTTTTCTAGCTCATTCTATTTGTTCTATAATTTTGACATTTGCATAGATATCTTATTTATTAATATTATAATAATACCTCTGGAATTTCCTAATTCCCATTTCTTACTATATCAGTTTTTATAAGAGTCAATGAATTTTATTCTTTTTAATCATTAGTCTTTCTTTTAATTTAACTTAATAAATGTCTACATATTATTTAAAATATTTACTTTTTTCCTCTTTAAAATGATTTATGTTTAAATTCATTTTCATTATTATCATGTCTGGTTTTGTGAAAGTCATACATATTTAATTATCTAACAAATGATGCAAAGTTGCTATGCTTGAATGACTTTGGTAGAATAACATCTGAAAATTCATTAACTTTTTTAACTATAAATGCATTTCCTTCTTCATTCCAACTAATGACATCTTAATTATTAGGATTCTAAGAATTGCTTAATTATTTATACATCTATTATCTCATAAGTTTTTAATAAAAATGCAGGTATAGAATCCCCATTGGTTTTTTACGACCTTGACCTCTTTTTCTTAACTATTTATTATTACTCCATTAAATCAATTTACATAAACTTAATAATATAAATACTATTTTTAAATAATTCTTAATATATGAAATTCTATAACACCTAAATACCTAACTATTATCTAATATTTAATCATAAATTCATATTTAATAAATGATTCTATTTATTATCATTCTATTTAAAAATTAGAATTATTTATTTAAATAAATACTCTTAAAATAAATTTACATCACAAGTAACAAATTAACCTTAATTAATTGAATTACAATCTCTATTAGATTATTTAATAATGAATTCTTCATTGGTTTTTTCATCTAATGAAAGTTTACATTTATTCTCTTAATTTAAGGTAAATATAAGTATTTAATATTTAATTATGATAAAGCAAACGAAAGATGGTGAACCAATTTTTATTCCTCCTGCTAAAATTTTGCAAGAATTAAAATATTTGCACAAAGAATTACCAGCATTTTGTTACTCTTGGGCCTGGGAGGCTAGATGTGTATGTGCTTTTGAAAAAGCAGAATTTATAGAAGCCATAAAAGAATTGAAAGTAGATTTTGTAATATAATAAAAAGTAAATTGGTTGCTAAAAAAGATGTGAAGTATATGCAAAAAAACCTTTTCTTATTGGGAAAAGACTTTTTAATGTAAGATTAATTTCTTATGGGGCATCATCACCAAAAAAAATGTTCTTTGGACCAAATCATTTAGCTCATGCATTTGATAAATTGATGTTTGATTATGTTTACATATTTTTGGAAACACCTTAAAAAACAGCAAAAAAATTGTAATTACTAATATAAAAGGCAGAAAGCACAAATAATAATAGGTATTTTATATTATAATTTTAAGATAAATTGCTAGTTTTAAGGAAAGTTACAAAATACTACTTGGAAAGGAATATGAAGAATAAAATATAGAAGGAGAATAGAATGAAGAACAAGATTGATTTATAAATCATAATAATAAATAGTTTTGGATTATATAAAATATTAATAGAAAATAATATTAATGATTGTATATATTTATTACAATCTATGTATAAATCATAATGAATATCAAATAAAATTTAGATTAATAAAAATATCTAACAAAATATGCCTATCAAATTAAGAGTACAAGGTCAATCAATTACTGTTGATGATAGATTTGCTAATGTTAGTAACTTTTTGAAAGAAGCTTGGGAACCAGGTTCTGATGAAGTATAACATTTAAATATAAATTAGGAATTGCCTTTGTTAGAAAGTTAAGTAACATTAAAGGCATTTTAGACTTTGTAAAAATATTACGAATTCAACAATTTTGAGCCAGCAATCATAGATGCTATTTGTAAGAATATAATTTTATTTTATATTAGCAAATGATCCCAACACATGCTTTTTAAATGAATTTAATAGATAATTGATTATGGAGTATAGTGTATTTGAAGGAAATGAGTTAAAAGAGTTACTATAAGCAGCCATTTATCTTTAAACTTTGGCATTCAAGAGTAAATAATATGATATTATAATTAGAATTATGTTTGGCTAGAATTGCATTTGAATTCCATGTAGACAAATAGGAACCTAATAAATCCTTTAATACATTGAAAGAGAAATTTAATATGACAAATTCTGCTCTTACATTAGGAGATGTTGAAAGATTTAAGTAAGAATATCCAACAATCGTGAATAAATATAATTGATTCATATAAAGGAACAATATATATATCATTTATAAGTTGATTTAAATATTAATGATGATCCAATAATACTTTTTGGAGTGATTGGGTTAGTCTTAAATTTTCTCTATTATTAATTTAAATGATAAAGATACTTTAATTTATCTTAATTTGATTAATGATTTAAAGTTTTAGATAATCACTTTTTTTTCAAATCCATGTCCTCTTTCACTTAAAAGATCACAATATTTTTATTATTCTGATGGAATTTTGGTAGTATTGGAAATATTATTTTTTGGATTTATTATTTTTTATCTTTCAGATTCTAAATAATTTTCTTCATTAATATCCTATTGAATTCTTCTTGAACTTCCTAATGTGCTTGTAAATGAGTTTCGTTTGGTTGTTTTGGTTTTAAAATTCACTTGAACTTGAGCCCTTGATTCAATATCTGTTCTTAAAGATATTTTTTTTTGAGATAATTCAATACTTAATTTGCTTTTGTAATTTTATTATAATAAAGGTGAATCATTATAAGTAAATTTAGATCTTTTTGGTATTTATGTTATTGAATGAATTAATTCTATCATTGAGTGAATTTAATTAGAATAGTAATCTGAAGCTTTTAAATATAATTTAATAAAAGTAGATCCAGCTTATAAATATTAATTCAAGGCATCTTCATTTACATATAATTTTAAAATAATACTCTATATAACAATATATAAATACATTTTATATTTAATAATATAAATCTGGTTAAGTTGATGTAAGAGGATTATTCATATATTAATATAATGATAATGAATAATGTCCAATATAAGTGTTGGCACAAAAATTTTTAATTTTACTATCAATTTAAGAAGATTTTAAATCAATTGCCATTCTTTTTTAATGGATTGCTTAGAATATATCATTAAATCTAATAAATTATTAATTTATTAATACCTTTTTATAGCATTGTAAAGATTCCCAAAAACTTTGATTATAAATGTTTCTGCTTTATGTAATAGATTCTACTTAAAATTATTTTAAGATTGTTTCATAGTTAAAAATCCCATTAATTTCTATATATCTTAAAATTATTAATCTTCATCTTAATTTTCATCATAAATATAGAATCTTTCACATAATTCCTTTAATTCTTTTAATTCTTATTATAATTCTTATTTTTCTTCCATCAAACCTAAACCAATAGAAGATTCACTATCAATTTAAACTTAATATTTTCTATATTATTATATGAGATTCTCAACCAAAAATGAAACTCCAAAGGGATGAGTATGCATAAAATCAGATATTTCTTTATTACAATCTACTTTATTAATATCTTCAGTAATAAATTCTTCATTGATTCCTTCTTCATATGTCAAATACATTCTTATAAAAATTATCGCTATTTTATACCTTTCTAATTTTTATAAAACTTGCAAATCTATTACTACTTTTCTTTATTCATGCAATTTAAATATATTTGTTTCATTCTAATCATTCAATTATTGTATAGTTTTTTCTTATTCAACTAATGTTTATTAAGCTTACTTATAAAATTATGTCAAATACTTTTATTTTTTACAATAAACTATAATAGTTCTATTATGTCTATTAAGTTTCATTTTTAATCTTCTCCAAATTATCTTATACTTCTACCTTCTTATTTTCCAATTGTTTAATATATTCATCATAACTTAATTTATATTTAGAATAACTTAAGTAACTTAATTTCTTAGTCTATTGACTCTCTCTATGTTCAATAGGTAAATCTTAATAGAAACTATTTATCAATCTTAATTGGTCTTCCAAATCATTTATATATTTCTGTCTCAACAACTAAATATATTAAATTACCATCATACTATTGAATAGAGTATTCTATCTAAATCTATTTCCAAATACTATTTTTATTCTAATGCCTTCTCAATCTCTTCAACATGTAATTGTTATTTCTCTTACTTAATTTGATATTATATTTTCTCTTTCTTTAATCTTGCAATTTAATCTCTCTTAGCAATATTGTTAAAATGCACTTCATTATATATTTATTCAATCTGTTATTATAATAAAGATGATAAATACATAAGAATGAGAAAATGCTGAACTCTCAATATTACATTAAGTCAAAAATTCATTTTCTAATTCATTCATATTTTATGAATATTAAATAATAACTCCTTAATTAGTAAATTCAATCTTATTAGCATTCAGATGGAACTTGTTTTTGTTCTGTATGTTTGTGCAGCAAATGTTATTGTAAATAAAAGCCTTAACAAACACATTACATTAATGAACCAAAATCAATTTATAATATTGATTATGATTCAAGAAGAACACCTAATAAACATTCTAGATTGCCTAATCAGAATTATTAAGGCAGATAAAAAGCTTTATCACTTCATTCTGTTTATAATGATGATTTTGATAAAAAACAGTTGAACAAATCATTTCTAGATAATACACAATATCCATAGAATAATTCTTTCAGCATTCCTTTTTGTGGTTGTAACACTTATGCACTTTAATTTCCAGGTAAAACATCAATGCCTCCTCAATTGTTAAAACCATTAAATTAAATTTAATTACTACCTGGTAAATTAGACAGCAAATCAAATTATCAAAGAGAACATAAATATCATAAATTAGATCAAGATAAAATCATCAATTTTTCCAAAATTACTAATCAAAGATTACATACCAATTCTAAAGAAAAAAATATTTACTTAAACTCTAACTATTAAGAATAATACAAAGGATAAATTGCAAAAAAAGTTTAATAATTACCTATCTAATAAAGTTATTTACCTTTTGGACTTAGTAATAAAGGAATCAATCATCATTATGTTAGTACAAATAAAAAAGATTATGAACCATAAAGCTTTTATTAATGTGAAGCAGATTAAAAATTACAAAAATTAAGCGATTAAATATTATCATAACAATGAAAATAATAAACATATAATCAAATTATTGAATATCTTTTTTATTCCATTTATTTAAATTAAGTTGTAATACTTTAGTCTAATGATTATCTCTTTCCAAATCTACTAGTATTACTACTATTTAACATAACACGATCAATAATTGATCTTTTTTTCTATGTTGAAAATTCTATTGAATAACTATTTTATTTTTTTGAAGTAGGAATATTAATATCATAAATAAATTAAATTTTATTTTTACCATTCTTATTTAATTGTTTAAATAATTCTCTTTTTTATTAAACAATTTAATCAATCCTCTAAAAAGGAGAGTTTGATTTTATAATACTTCTTGATCTTTAAGGTGATTCAATCTTTTTTTAAATTCTACTTTATCTATGAGTTTCTTTTAATTCACTTAAATTCTTCAACTCATTTATTAAGTGTAATTCATTATTTGCCTAATTAATGTATAATATTACTAATAGTCTTTATACTAGGCTCTCCAATTAGATACATAATACTTTTCCATAATCTGATTAACATCTAATTGTTTATGTTCTTAATTATAAACATTGAAATGTTTCCTTATCTCCAAAAATACATCCTTTTTATAATATAGCTATTTCTCTAGTTTAATTTAATTGTTATTAATATGTAAATTATTTCTGTTTTTCTGTAACAATAAATTCACCACTTAATATCAAATATATTTCTTCTCTATTTGGTTAACCTTCCTTATAAATAAGATCTCTAAATTTGTACTCTTAACTTTAGAATGCATATAAAAGAATAGTTAATAGTCTTCTAGACATCCCTTAAAAAGTTGAGATAGATTATAATTCTTTAATTTACTATTGAATTTTTTCACTTTGAGCCTGTTACAAAATTTCTTTGTAGGCTTACTTATTTAATACTGCAAAATAACATTATTTTTCACAAACTACTGTTGCTAATCGACCAGTCTCATTTATCAATGCTCTTTCACCAAAAGAATCTCCTTCATGTAACTCATTCACTTTCAATAAACTAATTTTTAAAAAGATTATTTACTTTTTTATTTTTTCATTTAGAAGAATCTTTCTTATCTCTGGAGTTTAATCTTTATTTGGTCCAATCCCTTGTCCTATTAGTTAATTTACATATTCTCTTATTCCTTAACGAATAATAATTTTATTGTGTTATAGCTATTCTATATTATTTGAAAATATATAAATTCCAACTTATCCAGACAAAATGATGTAAAAATCTCTCCCTCTATCCCCTTTCTCAAAAACAATTGAATCCTAATTATACTATTTTTCAATTAAATACTTCAGGATAAATTTCTAAATGAATTCTCTGTAAACATTTTTATAAGGCTTGAACACCACATTCCTCTTAGATTTCCTAAAAATATTTGATATTTTTAGTAGCTAATTATAGAATCTGTTTGATTTAAATTCATAATGTTTAAAAACAAATACCTATATATCATGTATGGTTCGCTCTGACCAAGGTTTTTACAAAATAACAGTGCTCATTTCTCGAAGTTATAATGGAGTAAAAGTATATGACATATCAGAAGTTTCAAACAAATTGTTGTTCCTGATAAATTAATTCATGCACTAATGTGATCATTAATATTGTATATATCATAAATTGAATTTTTTTCAAATACATTTCTCAAAAAATAGGAAATATTGTTAAACATGATTTCCCATAAAAAAACTACTCCTTTACTTATGATTTCAAATTTTAATAATTTTTATTATTTTTACATACTTTAATATCCTTGTGAATATACAATAGTTATTAATGACGTAATATAAACAAAGATAACTAATAAACCTAATAATTAGTATGAAAACATTAAAAATGATTGTTACAAACTATTTTACTTGATTGCTGCAATTAATTCATAAATTCAAATGCAGATGTTGTTGTGATTTTATAATCTGAAAATTTTATTTATTTTGTTTTATTAATGGATACACCAAATATGTAAAGATTAATATTTATTAAAGACAAGCAGCTGGAGGCAGACCTAATAAATAAACATTTGATTAAGCCCCTCCTACTAGACAAGTGTAATTATCCTTTACTTATTTAGAATCCAAAACAAATCTGATATTTTTGGACTTAATACTCCTGCACCTGCTCCATAAGTATCTAGATAAAGTGTAAGACCTAAAACTGATATTTTCAGTAATGAATGTTAAGCACCAAAATAATAAGAAGTATTAGACTTATTGTATATGTATTAGGTAAGATAAAATAAGACTTTTTAATCTTAAATCTTTTAATAAGAAGTTGTTCAAAATGCACCACCACCTGCTCGTTCAAATCAAACTTTTGAGAATTCATAATAAGAAGTGAAGAGATATTAAAAAAAAAATAATGACAATAGATAAGTTGATCATGGAAAAGATTTCCTATTTGGGAAGAGTGGTAAAGATAATTGAATAAGTTTTAGATTTTGATGAATATAAATCATTAAAAAGAGCAGCCACTTTGAGTGAATTCAAACCAAAACTAAACTATGATCCATAAAATAGAAGAAATAAAGAACTTTATGGTAATGAAATAGCTCGTGATCATCTTCCAACAAAAGAAGTCAATTTAGAGACATCTAGTCCATAAAAACCAAAGAAATAATCATAATAGTAATAAGAATAGAATCCAACCAACAGAAAATTGATGGAAAATCAATCAAGTGTTTTTGGAGATTCTCCTACGTATAACATATAATTTTATTTATAGTAAAGCTGTTTAAAATTAAAAAGTAGAAAAATTGACTGCTTCCACATAAAAATGGAGTACTGTAGGAGGATAAAGTAATAATTAAGTCAAAGAATTTGATCCTGAAACATATGCTAAAAATAGAAGGGAAGCTGAATTATAATCAAGTGTATTTGGTGAATAACAAGTTAAGGTTTAACCAGTTGCAATTCCAGAATAATAGGAAGAATCTTAAACATAATAAGGTATTATCATATTTAATATAGCTACATAATAACAGTAATAAAAAGTCTAAAAGCCAAAAGAAAGATTAATTCCTAATAATTAAACATGGTAATAGACTGATTCAGTTAAAAATATGAGAGATTTTGATCCAACTTAATCTTAAATTAAAGAAGATGTTGATGCATCTTAAAAGAAAATGGATGCTTTAAAATCAGCTATGGATACTCATTAATTTGAAGCATAATAGATTCCAACAAACTAAAAAATATCAAATAAACATCTTAAAGTAATAAATATATTTATAAATAGTAAAATAAAGACATTATTTAAAGAGAAGAGAAATTAAAAAAGGAAAAAACAACAACAAAAACATAAGCTAAGAAAAAATGATATATTTATATCAAATAATTATAGTATTTAATATATATTAAATATTTAATTATAAAGTGACAGAATTTATTTATTTTAATTATATTTGTATATACATCAATGTTTTTTATTTCTTTTTATTTTTCTCATATCATTTACATCATTTGGATTTAATCTACCATAACCAACAGTGATTTTTTATTTTGGATGTTTATAATCAATATCTTCAAAACCAATTCCATTTTCATATGTTTTCATAACCTTTTTGTATCTGTATTCTTCTTATTTTCTCTAATTAATATAAACAACATAAAATACTTATCTAGCTAATTATTATTAAATTCCACTTTTCATTAATTGATCTTAACAGAAAATAAATGGAGCATCCTTTTTAGTTAAATTCTAAGGTATTGAATACTATTTAATATTAATATATTAATTTACTTGAGTTCCCCTAAGATTAACTTTGAAATTCTTCTTTCTATATAAAATTATTGTTCCATCAGATTCTAAAGAACATGAAACTTTTAGTAATGAATTATTTCCACAATTAGTACAAAAAAGTCTAGTTGAATCTCTGACTAATGTTTTACATATATGACATTCTAAAATGAATCTTCTTGCACTTTTAATCATATATCCTTCAGTTGATAAAACAGGAACACCCATTTACAATAGTACATTCTTATAAATTAAAAAATGAATAATACTTGCATAGCAAAGTCAGTAGTCAAAAGAGCAACACCAATTTGATTAGCTTATTATGGATTAATTTAAATTTCATTTAATTTTTCATTAATATTTGTATTATTAATCCATTCTTCATCATTATCATCTTCTGATGATTCCTCTTGTTAATCTTCAACTTATTTAGTTTACAATTATGTATTTGATTATTTAGTATAATTATTGTAATGTTTTTTCTTTGGAACAACTTCTTCCCATCCATCAGAATCATCATCATCATCATTATTATCATCATTCTTTTATGATATTTCTTATTTCTCTGGTTCTTCTGATTTTTATTAAGTTTATTCATCTTATTATTTATTTTAAACTTATTCATTCTCTTCTTATTATTATACTTCTTCTTCTTCTTCTTCTATTTATTATTATTGATTTTTAGATCCATATACATTCTTAATTTTATTAAATTCTAATGGTTTTAAAGGTTCCAATTTTAATTTGTCTTTCTAACCATTTTCTTCTATTATTGTACAAGCTAAAGCAATAAGTTCAATATCAATAGGTGACAATGATGCTATGTCTGATGTTTATGTAGCAAATTGTTTAACAATTTTAATCATTTTCTCTGATGGTGTTAAGAAGGTGAGAGGGTAAGTGAAATTTTATAATTTTTATCTGGCTCTTTCATCTCTGACTTCAGTAAGAATAGCCTCATGAGTTACGAATGTGTAATGTTCTGAAAGGTGTTGAAAATTGATTTCTTTAATAAATGCATTGGCATCCAATATTAATTTATTCATTTATTTTAATTTAAAAAAATAAAAGATGTCCGAACCATAAGTATATAATAAATTAATTAGGTTATATTTAATGTATGCAAAAATGAATAAGGTAATCCCAGTCAGAATTACAAAAAGATTCTTAAAAAGTATAAAGGTTAATATAAGGTAAGTTATGGATTTTTGAATTATTTAGTTTGGCTTAAATAAAGATGACTTAGTTATAGAGAAAATCAGAAATGCAAATTTACTCATTTTTGGTGGCTCCAGAGCTCCCTTTACTGAGAAAGGTATTTTTTATTTTGATTCATAGAAATCAAATGTCTTGAAGAATATTTAATTAATGGAGGCAATCTATTAATCTTATTCTCTGATGGAGGTGAAAGTAAGTCTACTAGCAACTTAAATGCATTCATTGAGAAATTTGGAATTTATGTTAACAACGATTGTGTTGTAAGGACATGCTATTTTAAATATTTTCATCCAAAAGAAGCATTTATATAATAAGGAGTTATTAATCAAGAAGTTTGAAAATCTTTATTCTATTTAAGATAGTTCGTGTGATTAATGGTGAATAAAGAGAGACTAGAAAAAATAAGGCATCCACACCATACCTTTAAGGAGTAATAGAAATGGAAGATACTGAAATTAATAATTAAAGTGGTCTTGACTTTGTTTATCCTAATGGAGCCACTTTAATTGTTAAAGACAAAGCTTTTCCTATCCTTTCCACTGGACCTATGTCTTATCCATGTGAAAAACCAATTATGGCAATTAATCAAGAAAAGGGTAAACTTGTAGTTATAGGTTCAACTGATATATTTAATGATGAATATTTTGAAAAAGATGATAATTAAAAGATTTTTGATTTCCTTTTAAAGTTCTTCTTTACAAAAGAAGTTGAATTTGATAAGAAAACTCCATTTGTAGAAAATGATTGCAAAAATGCTCCTGATATTGCAGAGTTATCTGATAAATTAAAGAGTTGTTTATAAGAAAGTGAAGAATTACCAAAAGATGTAACAACCTTATTTGATTCAACATTATTCAAATTTGATCTTGATCTCATTCCAGATGCAGTTAAACTTTATGAAACTCTTTGTAATTTTCATTTATATTTTAGAGGTTAAACATGAACCACTGACTCTTATTGTTCCATAATTTGAAACACCTTTATTAGGATTATAACCAGCTGTCTTCCCACCTATTCCTAGAGAATTACCACCTCCTCCTCTTGAATTATTTGATTTAGATGAAGAATTTGCATCTGAAAAGTAATTATATCTATAATATATTTAATAGAACTCGTTTGGCATAATTAACAAACAAATGCACTAATGAAGATTTGGAATATTATGTTAAAGAGGCTGGAGACATTATAGGAATAACAGATAAATTAAAGAATAGACAAAAGGCATAATCAGTAATTCATTATGTTCTAGAAAATTTAATCAATTTTAAAAAATTAAATTAAGGTTGAGCTTTATTAATAAATAGATATAAAGTCATATTTAATTATATTTATTTTTTGTAGATTTTAAACATTAAATTTTTGTATATTTATATATAATAAATATAAATTAATTCATAGTTTTCTACATGAAAACTTTTTATTTGTTGAATTTAAATCAACTTTATTTAAAGATGATGTTCTAATATGTTATTATGAAAAATTTGAATGTTCCAATCGAGATTTTAATTTATTCCATAAATCTTCAATCAAATTATACATTCTTGTATTTTATTTAATTAATTTTAACATCTCATTACTTTTTATAGCTCTATAAAGAATATTTGATACTAATTATAATGAATCTTAAGTTGACAATAATTCAGGTTCAATTATTTAATCACATTAAAGGATTTTTATTTATTCCATTAACTAAATCATATTCATTCAAATGTTTACTTCTTTCAATTTAATATTATGATGTTTCTTTAATTGTATGATTTCTTCTTTTATATCTTCAACATGTATCCAATCTTATATAACTTATAATCTATCATTTTTATTAATTTTAATCACTTCTTTAATTGCTAAAACAATGTTTTCCTATTCTACCTATGAAAATTAAACTACAAGCATCTATAATGGATTATTATTCATTTCATAATTATTGAATTACTATTGTTTATTGTATAATTATTATAATTCATTAGTTAATTAAATGATTTACCAATTTTATTGTTACATAGTTTATTGATAATATTATTCTTTATCATTTTGTTCATTAATTAGTTCATTTATTTTATTCTTTTATGCATTTATTTCAATTTCATATGATTTATTTTAAGAAATCAATAATCCATTCTCTTTTTTTATTGTTTTTATCTAATTGAAGATTTCCTCTTTTTATAATTGTAATTGCATTACATTTTCTTATAATATTTCTAATTTTGGTTTGGATAAAATATCAGTTTATATTTCTTTGTTATGTTAATTTATTTAGATTTTATTCAAAGATTAGCTGAAAATATCTTTTTTTGGTAAAGCAAATGCAGAAACTTCCTCATAATAACCTTAATATTATCTACTATCAGCTGTAGTCATACTATGCATATCTGTAGAACTTTTTGATCTATTTTATCTTGAAAGATCTTAGATTTAAGATAATTCTTATTGAAAATATTCAAGTCTCTTAACCTACTCTCTAATTTTAGGTTTTTGAGTTTGAAAACTGAAAATCATTTGTTTATCCATATTATTCAAATTTTAACAGTAATATATTGAATTAATTTGTTTTGATTATATAAATATAATATATTATTTTCTTTTTGTATTATATCTAAAATAAAATAAAATTAATTATGTATTTTCATCTACCTATAATAACAATTAAGTAATTGTATAGCTAATTTTAACTTAAATTTAAGATCTATTAATTAGAAAATGATAAATCCATATATAAATAAGATATAATAATTGTAAATTACATATTCTAAAATTATAATGATTTATGAATTCATTATATTGTTAAATATTTTTCCAACATTGCATAAGCACCCTATGGATTATCAGTAGGAACCATGTGACCTGCTGTATAAATTGTAGCATAAATCAAATTTTCATATTATTTCCATGTCCCTTATGTTTCTTTATTCACAACAATCATTTCTTTCTTTGCATTTTTCCATAATCCAATATTTTCCCAATTCAATTAACTCATCCACATAACAGCTCCAGGAGTATTAACTATATAATCTAATTAACCATTGAATAGTAAAACTCTAATTTTACTCTATAACAAAATCTCAATATCAGACTTTCTACTTGTTGGAATATCCAAAGCAAAGGCATCATAAGTAGGTCCATCACATCCTTCAAATTTAGTTTTAGTATTTGGAGCCTTGAATTAAGTTTTTAAATAAAAATTTAAGAATCTTTCATGTGTAGTATCTTCTACATCTTATCCTTGGTATTGTCTGAAATTATAAACGTTGATTCCACCAGCCATTTTTATGGTTTCATCATCAGACAATATATCGAATTATTTGTATGCTAATTACATATCCCCATTTAAAATAGCATTTTATCCTATGGCTATGTTATTCTGAATTATTTTGAATTATCTTTCTGTAATTGTACCAATTGTATACAAATAGGAAGCATATTAAGATAATTATTAAAATGGCTATGTCCATCCATCTCCTATTGCAACTCCTTTAAAATTCACAATAGTTAACTTTTAAGTTAATATTTAGACAGCAATAGCAGGTATATAATGTCCTGCAAAGCTCTCTCCCATTATATACAATTGAGTTCTCTATAGAATTGTGTGTTTATTATATAGAACTCGAAGGAAATTAACAAAGTATTTTGCAGCAGTTTCAGTATTTGAGACTATAAATCCATCTTTAGCACTACTCATCCCCACTTTTAATGGCTAATCAACAAATAATTGATGTGTCAACTTATTCCAAGATTATGGCTATACCATATAAAATAAATAATTACTCTTTCTTCAACTTTATATTTATCTTTGCTTACTTCTACAACTTTATAAGGACCTATCTCTTAAAAGTTACCAAATTATGATGAACAACCTGGACCACCATTTAACCAGATAACTAAAATATCATCTTATTTTATTTAGTCTAAGCTCATAGTTCCTTGTTTTAAAAACATGTGGTAGAACATTTCTCCCACAGCTGTCTATCCATCCTATAAGTCTTTTAATGTAACATATCCTGTTTCGATGTATTATTTTGGATCTGCACCCAATAATTGTTTATAAAAATCTAAATGTTTAAATACAAACCAATTATACCAGTCTATACTGTTGTTTACACATCTCCTTAACAAAGGACTAAACTAAATAATCCGATCAGAATATATATCATTTTTTGAATATTTTTTATATTAAATTTCTTAATATATATAAATATACAATATTAATTTGTTACAAGAATTATTACATATTACAAGAATATTAGAATAATCATATTGCAATACAATTTTCTAATAAAAATTATAATTGAGTTATTCATAACAATATAATTATTTCTGGTATTTAGAATATATTAATTAATTATATCAATTTATTAAACTCAAATGCCATTTATTGATATTAGAAAATAAATGCCTTCTTTAGATACATAAGAAATTTATTAACAATACTTATTTCCAAGACCTTCATCACAATATAGAATTATCTCTAATACTTTTGCTATAGGATTTTGTGGATTTTTTTATGGGATTGGCAAGGCTTTATAAAAACATTATTCAAAATTCATATAATCAAATAAATATTGTTTTTATGGATTATTGACTGGATATACTCATCAATAATTTAATGAAATAGGCTCTGGAATATTAATTAGAAACTTTGGAATTGATTAATATTGGGTATCTAATACAGCAGCAGGAACAATTAATTGTCTAATTATTTATAGTTGTATGCAATTAAAAAAAAGTGAAAGTGGATAATTAATAAAAGCATAAAAGTTTGCAGGAGGAATTTGTTTGATATCTATGTTCTTAGATTTACTCAGTCAAGTATAAAGGAGATTGATTTTACAATATATTTAAAAAGGAGATGAAGGAAAGAAACACTGAAAGGATTGTGTAAATTTATTGTAATTAAATAGTATTTTCTTTTGAATTATATATTATTATTACTTATACTAATGAAAGTTTAAGATGCTTCTGAGAAGTAAGCCAAACCAATCGATTCACGATTGATGAATGGACCATTATAAGATCGTCATTGTACTGATATCATATGTTGTTTATTATTTATAGCATCATTCATATTTATGTGGTAAGTTATTATTTTATAACCTAAGGTATATTGCTATAACAGGATATTCTTTAGGGAAACCAGAAAGAATATTGGCAGCTTATGATTCTGATGGTAGTTTTTTAATCTATTATATTTAGGTAATGCATGTGACTTGGATTTACCAGATTATCCATTATTATACTTTCCTATCATTCATCCTGATTACTATAATAAAACTGTTTGTGTAGAAAGATGTCCAGCAAATACATCAGATACTGTTAAATGTTAAACAAATAAAAATATCACATCATGTCCTAGAGATTGTACAAAGGTTTCAGTTGATACATCTACTACTTTTGATTTCACTTCCATAGATTCTATGAAGAACTATGTAGACACAATAACAAGTTCAGTCAGTAAACCTGAAAATTGGATTTGTCTATATGGAAGTGAACCTATTTTTTCAAGAGCATGTTTTCCAAGTACTGCTTTAGAAATTTTAAATCAAACTTCTAATTTTAGTTCTTCCATAGATTTAAATAGATTAACATCTTGGTTATATGATCTTTCTATTGCAAAATATATAATTCTAGCATCTTTTTTTATAGCTTTTGGTTTAGGGTAAAAATAAATAAAATATAATAGATTAATTTATATGATTATTTTAAGATTTTTAGGAGGTTTATTTGTATGGTTAACAATTTTACTTTACTTTGTCGGAATTTCAGTTTTAGCAGGTTATACTTGGGATTAACATTTATATTATTTAAAGTATATAGATTTTATTATTTAGTGATTCTTAATAATCAGCTTCAGCAGGATCTACTAATGCCTCTGACAATGCCAAAGCTTTAGAATATTTGTTTTATATTGAAATAGCATGGATTGCTTTTTCTATTCTTGTTTTTATTTGTATTTTCAATAAAATTAGATTGGCAATAGGAGTTGTAAAGACAGCTACTTTATATGTGAGAGATAACTTTTCAGTTATGATAGTACCTCCAGTAATTGGAATTTGTTTAGGAGTATTATGGGTTTGGTGGATAGTATCAGTTGTGTAATATCTATAATTAATATATAAGTTATATTGTTGGTCTTGGAAACATTAAAGGAGATGGTAGTACTCCTTTTGCCACTGTTACTTTTGACAATACTACTAGAAATATGGTTTATTATTTTATGTTTGGTGGATTATGGAAACAAGCATTTTTATTGGCTCTGAATCAATTTATAATTGGTTGTTCAGTTTGCATATGGTATTTTAATTAAGGACCAGGTTAATCTTATACTGGAAATTTATTCTAAAGTATTTATTGGGCATTTCGTTATCATCTTGGATCATTAGCATTTGGTTCTTTTATATTGGCAGTTGTGTAATTTATTAGATTAATGTTGGAATATGCTAAATATCAAGCAAAATAGATGTCAGGAGATAACAAATGTACTAAATGTATATTAGATTGTCTATCTTGTTTGGTGGCTTGTTTTGAAAGATTTATAGAATTTCTCAATAAAAATGCTTACATTCAAATAGCATTGACTAGCANTAAAACTGTTTGTGTAGAAAGATGTCCAGCAAATACATCAGATACTGTTAAATGTTAAACAAATAAAAATATCACATCATGTCCTAGAGATTGTACAAAGGTTTCAGTTGATACATCTACTACTTTTGATTTCACTTCCATAGATTCTATGAAGAACTATGTAGACACAATAACAAGTTCAGTCAGTAAACCTGAAAATTGGATTTGTCTATATGGAAGTGAACCTATTTTTTCAAGAGCATGTTTTCCAAGTACTGCTTTAGAAATTTTAAATCAAACTTCTAATTTTAGTTCTTCCATAGATTTAAATAGATTAACATCTTGGTTATATGATCTTTCTATTGCAAAATATATAATTCTAGCATCTTTTTTTATAGCTTTTGGTTTAGGGTAAAAATAAATAAAATATAATAGATTAATTTATATGATTATTTTAAGATTTTTAGGAGGTTTATTTGTATGGTTAACAATTTTACTTTACTTTGTCGGAATTTCAGTTTTAGCAGGTTATACTTGGGATTAACATTTATATTATTTAAAGTATATAGATTTTATTATTTAGTGATTCTTAATAATCAGCTTCAGCAGGATCTACTAATGCCTCTGACAATGCCAAAGCTTTAGAATATTTGTTTTATATTGAAATAGCATGGATTGCTTTTTCTATTCTTGTTTTTATTTGTATTTTCAATAAAATTAGATTGGCAATAGGAGTTGTAAAGACAGCTACTTTATATGTGAGAGATAACTTTTCAGTTATGATAGTACCTCCAGTAATTGGAATTTGTTTAGGAGTATTATGGGTTTGGTGGATAGTATCAGTTGTGTAATATCTATAATTAATATATAAGTTATATTGTTGGTCTTGGAAACATTAAAGGAGATGGTAGTACTCCTTTTGCCACTGTTACTTTTGACAATACTACTAGAAATATGGTTTATTATTTTATGTTTGGTGGATTATGGAAACAAGCATTTTTATTGGCTCTGAATCAATTTATAATTGGTTGTTCAGTTTGCATATGGTATTTTAATTAAGGACCAGGTTAATCTTATACTGGAAATTTATTCTAAAGTATTTATTGGGCATTTCGTTATCATCTTGGATCATTAGCATTTGGTTCTTTTATATTGGCAGTTGTGTAATTTATTAGATTAATGTTGGAATATGCTAAATATCAAGCAAAATAGATGTCAGGAGATAACAAATGTACTAAATGTATATTAGATTGTCTATCTTGTTTGGTGGCTTGTTTTGAAAGATTTATAGAATTTCTCAATAAAAATGCTTACATTCAAATAGCATTGACTAGCAAGAGTTTTTGTCCAGCTGCTAAAGATGCTTTTGAATCAATATGGGCTAATACTATGAGATATAGTCTAGTTTCTGGTATTGGTTCTATTTTTACTTTCGTAATATATAGATATTTATATAGATTGGTAAATTATTTGTGGGTTTTGCTACAGTCTTATTTGCATATGAAATCTTTATTCATGCAGAACCATATAAAACAGATCTAGCATCTCCAATTGTACCATCTATTGTATGCTTTATTATTGCTTATATGGTGGCTATACTATTTATGAGTATCTATTAAATGGCATGTGATGCTGTTTTGACTTGTTTTATTTATGATGAAGAATTAAATAAGTAGAATGGTGGAATGTCAGCTTAACATTGTCCAGAAACACTAAGAGAATGGTTTGACAGTACGTAATCATCATGATATTAAATTTTACAAACATAATATAATTAATAGAATTACTAATACACAAACAAAATCATAAATTTTACTAATGCTTTATTTATATTAACATTCTATTATTCTATTCCATTTGTTAATGTCTTAATATGAAAATCAAAATGATATATTAATTTAATTCATATTTTATTTAATCCATCAGATATCAAACTAATTGATATGACATAATCTAAACTTAATTATTAGATTCTGATGGATTTGTTATGATAAAGAATAAATAATTTAAATACTATTTTTTGATTATATTAAATTAATTAATATAACTATTGGATCACAAATTTAAAAAAAATGTCATGACCATACATACATATAGATATGTCATTTATTTATTAATTGAAATTATTCTACTCTTATTTTTATATATCAATTTTCTTTTATAAATATATTTAATATATAAATAAAACAATGAAATTCCTTCACTATTCCTTATGTTTTCTTTTACTTATTATGTAAATCTAATCAAATGATGAGAATAACGTTAAGTGTGAAGAATATTTTAAAAACATTGTCGATGCTATTTCAATTGGGGAAATGCCAAAGAATGTATCACCATAAACTTTACTCAGCTCTGGAAAAGGCCTTTAAGATTTAGGTTCCTATTTAGTTTGTAGAGACTCTGTTGACCTACATTACATTCACTTAAGAATGATCAGTGGAGGAAGACCTCTACATATGGGATTTTGTTTACCTTAATTTTGTGATATGGATTATCTCTAAACATTCAATGAAACAACCAAAAAATTCATTAATAATTTAACTGTACATATCCATAGTTTCCTTAGAATCTCCAATTCAATAGGTCTATGATTGAAAGTGTTTCTTATTAGGATCCAGAACTAATGTATCCAGAATGGAGTGTTGGAACCTATTTGACTCTTTTTTTATTGATTGTTGTAGTTGGCCTAAATGTTATTGGAAGCATATTCTCCATTATTGCAGAAAACAAAAAGAAAGCATATTAGGATGACTTATAAATAGAGATTAAGAATAAAGCCGCATAGAAAATAAATGATTCTAAAATTGAAGAAACATCATTTTAATCAGAATCTATAAATCAATTATATAGGAGATCAGAATTAATTTGTAAATACATTATTAATTTTTAAATTAGAAAATGAAATCATGGAAAATTAGGAATCTGCTTTTATGAGTGGCTAAGGATAATTTGAGGAAATTAAATATGAGAAATACAAAGAAGCAACATGGGAAAGATTTGCATTAAGCTTTTCTTTTATTCACAATTATCAAAAACTATTTAAAATTAATGAACCACAAGGTGATAATGCAGGTTTTGTAGTTTTTAATGGAATAAGATCATTATCAATATTTTGGGTTATTTTTGGTCATGATTAATTAATTAGAGGATCAAATTCATTTAATCTAATAGATATTCCATATAAAATAACAGAACCTGGATGGGTGACATTAACACCTGCAGCATATTTTGCAGTTGATACATTCTTTTTTGTAGGAGGTTTCTTGGCTGCTGTTTTATTATTAGAAAAGTTAACTAAATTAAGAACAATCAAATTTACATTGGTACCAGCTATGTGGTTACATAGATTTTTAAGAATATGGCCAACATATGCATTTTGTATTTTAGTATATTGGCAATTGACTGTTTATATGTCAGATGGACCTATCTGGAATGAATATATAGCATCTACATCTACTTGTAATACTTAATGGTGGAAGAATCTATTATTTATTGATAACATGTTTTCACATGCTAATAATGGATTAAGTTATTGTTTTGGATGGGGTTGGTATTTATCAAATGATTTTTAAATATTTCTTATTACTCCAATACTATTGATTATTTATGCCAGAAATAAAAAAATTGGATTAACAATAATTATTTCATTACTAATTGGAAGTGTATTCTCAGCCTATTATATAGCTTTTTCTCATGATTATCATTTATAAATAGGTACTCCTAATGCAAAACCACAACCAGATTATCAAGATGTATTTTATTATAAACCTTGGGTCAGGATTTCTCCTTATTTAATTGGTATCCTCTTTGGATTATTCTATCGAAATTATATTAGTGGTTAAAATTAAAAATTAGTAGATTTGGCTAAGAAAATTAAAGATAGTGTATTAATTAGAACTTTACTTTATTTAATTGGAATTGGATTAACTCAAACAATAATATGGATCATTATACCACTCTAAAAGGATATGAATGCTTGGCCACCATAAGCCTAATATTTTTATTAAGCTTTTAATAGAGTATTTTTTGTTATAGGTGTTGGATTTTGTATAACTCCTGCTTTGTTAGGATGTAAGAATGATCCATCAAGATTTATGTATAAATAATAATTAAATTTTAGACTTGGACATCCCTTCTGGTAACCTATAGCCAGAATATCATTTTGTATGTATTTAACTCATTTCATTGTTATTCTATTTATGACCTTCAGTTCAACTCAATTAGTTTATTATCAATACTCACACATTCTTTTTTTCACACTTACTGATATTGTTTATACAATAGTAATAGGAGGTATCTTAAGTTTAGCAATTGAAGTAATATACATATCATATTTATAAAGGTACCTTGTATGAATCTTGAGAAGATTCTATTTGCTCCAAAAAAACAATAAGCTATTAAATTGAATGGAAATTAAGTACAAGACTAAATTGATTTATGAACAAATTGTTATATGTATTGATATAATTATTATATCAATTAAATTAGCTTTCCTCCAATGAGATTCCCATTATTCATTATCTTATAATGTATTACATATGATTCAATACATAAATATTAAATTTTTAAAAATGAAGCTTAAAAGGTTTCTTCTGAGATATTATCCTCCTGGAATAATTTTGGAATACATTCGTAGTAATGGAGAATAAGAAACGAAATCTATTGACTTGCTAAATTTAAGCAATGAGTATAGTTTGAAGTCTAAAATAATAGTACAGATGTAGATCAATTAGTTGAAGAAATAGTCATGGAAGAGCCAATAATTTCAGAGAATCGAAAACCTTAATTAGCAGCCTTAATAAGAAGTAAGACAAAATCTAAGACTTATTAGAATTAATAGATAAAATTGAATCAAAAAAAGAGCAATAATTTGAATTATTCAAAACTCTAAAAGCTCATATGTTACCTTTGACAAATTGTGCATTCAATAAAAATGGAGACAAGTACTTAATTTGAATTGATATAAAAATTAGGTTTATAACAGGTAGCTATGATAGAACATGTAAAGTATGGGATACTTTTACAGGAGAGGAAATAGTATCTTTGGAGGGTCATAAAAATGTTGTATATTGTATTGCATTTAATAATCCATTTGGGTAATCTTGTATAAACATATTAATAGTGATCGAGTGGTAACAGGATCATTTGATAAGACTGCTAAAATATGGGATGCTAATTCAGGGAAATGTCTATAGACACTAGTAGGACATAATTATGAAATAGTTTGTACATCTTTTGATCCTCATTCTTTGATTGTGGCTACAGGATCAATGGATAAAACTGCTAGATTATGGGATGTAGAGACAGGAAAGTAAATAGCTAGATTAGATGGACATGAAGGTGAAATTGTGAGTTTGCATTTCAATTCAGATGGAGATAAATTATTGACAGGTTCATTTGATAAAACTGCTATGATTTGGGATGTGAGATCTGGAGAGTGTATTCATATGTTAGATGAACATACAGGTGAAATTTCAAGTACTTAATTTGAATTTACAGGTGATTATTGTGCAACTGGATCTATTGATAAGTAATCAATATATTTTCATTTAGGACTTGTAAAATATGGGATATTAAAACAGGTAAATGTATAGAAACTTTGAGAGGACATAAAGATGAAGTTTAAGATATTTGTTTTAATTCTACAGGTTCATTAATCTATTTATTCTAGGCACTAGATTAGTAACAGTTTCAGCAGATGCAACTGGAAGAGTATATAATGTGCATACTGGAGAATGTATTGCATAATTACTTGGACATAAAGGAGAAATATCCAAAGTTTAATTTAATCCTTCTGGAAACAAGATCATTACTGCCAGTGCAGACAATACTGCTAGAATATAGTATGTTTTCATTAATAACTTTAATAGTTCAGAAACTGGTGAATGTTTATAAGTACTTGAGGGACATACAGATGAAATATTTAGTTGCTCATTTAATTATGAAGGAGACATTATTATTACAGGGTCTAAAGATAATACATGTAAAATATGGAAAGAAGTAAATTTACCAGTCAAAAAAAATTGAACAAATTCATTAATAATATATTTATTATTTTCAGCAACTTTANCCTGGAATAATTTTGGAATACATTCGTAGTAATGGAGAATAAGAAACGAAATCTATTGACTTGCTAAATTTAAGCAATGAGTATAGTTTGAAGTCTAAAATAATAGTACAGATGTAGATCAATTAGTTGAAGAAATAGTAATGGAAGAGCCAATAATTTCAGAGAGTCGAAAACCATAATTGGCAGCCTTAATAAGAAGTAAGACAAAATCTAAAGGTTTATTAGAATTAATAGATAAAATTGAATCGAAAAAAGAGCAATAATTTGAATTATTCAAAACACTAAAAGCTCATATGTTACCTTTGACAAATTGTGCATTCAATAAAAATGGAGACAAGTACTTAGTTTGAGTTGATATAAAAATTAGGTTTATAACAGGTAGCTATGACAGAACATGTAAAGTATGGGATACTTTTACAGGAGAAGAAATAGTATCTCTGGAAGGTCATAAAAATGTTGTATATTGTATTGCATTTAACAATCCATTTGGGTAAAGTAGTAAAAATATAAGAATAGTGATCGGGTGGTAACAGGATCATTTGATAAGACTGCAAAAATATGGGATGTTAATTCAGGGAAATGTCTATAGACTTTAGTAGGACATAATTATGAAATAGTTTGTACATCTTTTGATCCTCATTCTTTGATTGTGGCTACAGGATCAATGGATAAAACTGCTAGATTATGGGATGTAGAGACAGGAAAATAAATAGCTAGATTAGATGGACATGAAGGTGAAATTGTGAGTTTGCATTTCAATTCAGATGGAGATAAATTATTGACAGGTTCATTTGATAAAACTGCTATGATTTGGGATGTGAGATCTGGAGAGTGTATTCATATGTTAGATGAACATACAGGTGAAATTTCAAGTACTTAATTTGAATTTACAGGTGATTATTGTGCAACTGGATCTATTGATAAGTAATCAATATATTTTCATTTAGGACTTGTAAAATATGGGATATTAAAACAGGTAAATGTATAGAAACTTTGAGAGGACATAAAGATGAAGTTTAAGATATTTGTTTTAATTCTACAGGTTCATTAATCTATTTATTCTAGGCACTAGATTAGTAACAGTTTCAGCAGATGCAACTGGAAGAGTATATAATGTGCATACTGGAGAATGTATTGCATAATTACTTGGACATAAAGGAGAAATATCCAAAGTTTAATTTAATCCTTCTGGAAACAAGNATTCTATTTGCTCCAAAGAGATAAGAAGTTTTAAAGTAGAATGGTAATTAAGTAAGAGATGGTAATGATTTATGAAGAATTGTTATATGTGTTGATATAATTAGTATATCAAATAAATTATATATATATATATCCTTTAGTGAGATTCTCAATATTCATTATCATATAATGTATTACATATGATTCAATACATAAATATTAAATTTTTAAAAATGAAGCTTAAAAGGTTTCTTCTAAGATATTATCCCCCTGGAATAATTTTGGAATACATTCGTAGTAATGGAGAATAAGAAACGAAATCTATTGACTTGCTAAATTTAAGCAATGAGTATAGTTTGAAGTCTAAAATAATAGTACAGATGTAGATCAATTAGTTGAAGAAATAGTAATGGAAGAGCCAATAATTTCAGAGAGTCGAAAACCATAATTGGCAGCCTTAATAAGAAGTAAGACAAAATCTAAAGGTTTATTAGAATTAATAGATAAAATTGAATCGAAAAAAGAGCAATAATTTGAATTATTCAAAACACTAAAAGCTCATATGTTACCTTTGACAAATTGTGCATTCAATAAAAATGGAGACAAGTACTTAGTTTGAGTTGATATAAAAATTAGGTTTATAACAGGTAGCTATGACAGAACATGTAAAGTATGGGATACTTTTACAGGAGAAGAAATAGTATCTCTGGAAGGTCATAAAAATGTTGTATATTGTATTGCATTTAACAATCCATTTGGGTAAAGTAGTAAAAATATAAGAATAGTGATCGGGTGGTAACAGGATCATTTGATAAGACTGCAAAAATATGGGATGTTAATTCAGGGAAATGTCTATAGACTTTAGTAGGACATAATTATGAAATAGTTTGTACATCTTTTGATCCTCATTCTTTGATTGTGGCTACAGGATCAATGGATAAAACTGCTAGATTATGGGATGTAGAGACAGGAAAGTAAATAGCTAGATTAGATGGACATGAAGGTGAAATTGTGAGTTTGCATTTCAATTCAGATGGAGATAAATTATTGACAGGTTCATTTGATAAAACTGCTATGATTTGGGATGTGAGATCTGGAGAGTGTATTCATATGTTAGATGAACATACAGGTGAAATTTCAAGTACTTAATTTGAATTTACAGGTGATTATTGTGCAACTGGATCTATTGATAAGTAATCAATATATTTTCATTTAGGACTTGTAAAATATGGGATATTAAAACAGGTAAATGTATAGAAACTTTGAGAGGACATAAAGATGAAGTTTAAGATATTTGTTTTAATTCTACAGGTTCATTAATCTATTTATTCTAGGCACTAGATTAGTAACAGTTTCAGCAGATGCAACTGGAAGAGTATATAATGTGCATACTGGAGAATGTATTGCATAATTACTTGGACATAAAGGAGAAATATCCAAAGTTTAATTTAATCCTTCTGGAAACAAGATCATTACTGCCAGTGCAGACAATACTGCTAGAATATAGTATGTTTTCATTAATAACTTTAATAGTTCAGAAACTGGTGAATGTTTATAAGTACTTGAGGGACATACAGATGAAATATTTAGTTGCTCATTTAATTATGAAGGAGACATTATTATTACAGGGTCTAAAGATAATACATGTAAAATATGGAAAGAAGTAAATTTACCAGTCAAAAAAAATTGAACAAATTCATTAATAATATATTTATTATTTTCAGCAACTTTAATATAGTTTTAATTGCTAAACTTATGTAAGAATTACTAGATAATAACAATCCTTCATTATAATATATGATTTTTTAATAATCATCTCCAAATCATCATTTTAATAATTTCTCCAATTCTCCCTTCTAATCTAAATTTACTACATCTGTATATCCACCAACAAATTTTTATTTAATGAATACCATAGGTATTGTACTCCATTTCAATTTAACTACAAATTCATTCACTTATCTTTCATGTTCTTTATCTTTTGTGATATCTCTGTATTCATAAGGTATATTTTTAGTATCCAAAAAATGCTTTAATTTATGACAATATGGACAATAATCACCTCCATAGATTACTACAGGTTTATCTGATTTAATTTCTTAATGTTCCATAGATATGGTAACAATTTTTATTATAAATAATTATAATTAATTATTTAATTTATACTTATATATCACCAAGATATTATTATAAATCAACTTTTTTTTTATTTTATATAAAATAAATTTGATTAGACAACCCAATATATATGTGATTCATATGCCTGCTTTTTGGAGTTCGGATCAATAAAACTAAAGGGAGTAATAAAAAGATAGAAATATATTAATCTTATAATTTATCTGAATAATAAGACTATATATATATATTGAAATATCATGTATTTTAAATATATATTATTAATCAATTTAAATATATATAAAAGATTATAAGATTTTTTAAGTTCTGAAAACTGTTGTTATTTAATACAATATAATCATTCTCAAATGAAATCCTTTAATGTAGTACGACCTTCATCAAATTTCTGGTCAAGACATTTGCTTGATTATAATGGAGTTATATATTTTCTTTGTTCTTAAATACGTCCAAATTCTTAAAGAAGAGGCTGTGTTTGCTAAATGGGCTTCTACCATCCTTACGAATTGATCATTTGCTGGGTCTATAATTACATTAGACATTAGTTTAAATATTGGTTTCTAGAGAATCAAATTAATACTCTTACTGTTGAAGAAGCATGTATGGATTCATAGATAAGCTGAGTTACATCAGTTAAATTTATTAGTTTAACTATAATTATAAGGATTGAAATTATAAGTCGATAGGCGAAGTTTGAATAGGTTGGGCTTGTACCAATGATTCTGTTTTTTTATTGATTTCTTAAGGTTTTTCTGGTAGAGATTCCAACTTAGAAATACTTCTTCTTTAACGAGTCTTCTTCTTGCCTACCCTTCCTTCCCTTCTATAAGTTTACAAAATAGCTTTAGACGTGCTAAACTTAATTCCAAATTCTTGGGCTGCCTACTTTATTGTTGATTATTTCGATTAGACTCTTTTAATAAAAGCCATTCTCACTGCTGGTGTGATCACAGCGTATTTTTTCCTTGCTTAACTACCATCATTTAATGACTCCATAATTTTAATAATTATAATTGATGAATTTATTTAAAGATAAATACTTACATATTACATTAAATCATTATTCATAAGAGAAATTTCATTAAAGTATCCTATACTTTTTTTTATAGTAAAATTAATCAATAATTAAAATACATACTAATGAATTAAAATATTATTATTATTGATGGTTCATACAATGAAGGAGGAGGATAAATGTTCAGAAGTGCTTTGGCACTTTCTGTTCTCTTACAAAAACAATTTAAAATCATAAATATTAGATCCAACAGACCAAACCCAGGAATAAATAACTAACTTCTCAATTAAATCACTCTAATCACTAAAATTATCAAATCTGAAGTTGAAGGCCTTTAATTAGGTTCATAAGAATTTTCATTCAGACCTCTTGAAAAATTTATACCTTAAGATATTGTGTGTCAAGCTTAAACAGCATAAAGTATAACCTTAATCTTGTAATCTTTATTACCTATCTCAATTAATACTTAAAAACAAATATCCATTACTATACATGGAGGAACTTATTTAAATCATTGTCCTACTATATAAGCATGGAGTACAATTTTTGTCCCATTAATCAATCAAATGGGCCTAAAATGTGAGGTTCATGTTTTGAAGGAGGGTTACTATCCTTAAGGGGGAGGTTTGATTTAAGCCGTACTAAATCCTATTAAAAATACACTTAATTTATTAATTAAGAAAGAATTTACTAAAATTAATAAATTGAATTGCACATATTTATTAGGATCCCCATGTGATATTCAAATATTTGATCATTAGATAGTGAATGATCTCAAATAATATACTGAAAATGGTTAATTAATAATAAATAGCGAAATAAAAAATGTGAATTCAAAGAAATTCAAGAAATGTTATGGGATTTCTCTTATGAGTCATTCTAATTTGAATTCTTATGACTATACAATTATTAATGATAGCGATAAAAGTATTGAAGAAACTCTAGTTAATGTAATTAATTATGCTAAATAATAACTGGAATAATAAACTTGCTTTGATGAGCATCATTAAGATTAATTAATTTTATTGATGTCTTTGGCTAAAGGTAAATCGGAAATTTTAGTTGGTAAACCTTCTTCTCATACTGAGTCTTTAATATACGTAATTTAGAAATTCCTACCAGAATGCTTGATAGAATTTGAGAAGACAAATATAAAGGACAATTTTATAATATCAGTCTAAGGTGTAGGTTATATGTTTGAATGAATAAACTTATGTAACTAATATACAGAAAAAAAAAACTAAACTCAATAAACACACATTTGCAATCTCATCGTTGCTTAAAATAATAATATTCTTATGGTTTCGTTATTTTATTTAAGATTTCTCCTATTTAAGATAAATATTTTAGCTTTTCTTATTGATCACTTCTTAAGATCTAGGCATAAGCATGTTTTTGATAAAATTCAATAGATAATTTTTGAAATAAGGCTTTAAATAAATCTTAGTATTATTATCCTTTTGGATCAGAATGACATAAGATCAACATATCTTATATGGCTTTTACTTCTAGTTATTAAAGCCATGTCTTAAAATGTGGTTTAAGATTAGTATTTTCTGAAAAATAAGTCTCTATCATTTAAATAGCTTCTTCATTTTTTAAAATAAAATTCATTTAATTTTAGATTAGAGCATTTTATATTTTTTTTTCTTCTATTATAAAAATATAACAATAATATATTTACCATCAATAGGATAAAATCCTTTTTATTAGATTTCGATTTACTTGATTAGTTCTTCTACTGCATCATTTCTATTCTCTTCCACCCTAAAAGAGGGATTATTTAATGTTCTTAATTATTTATTTGAATAAGCCTATTAAATTAGTTATTGTAGAAAACTCAGAGGAATAGTGACAGTTGGATCTTGACGAGTCTACTTTAAGATACATAATTACGATGGTTTCATCAGCTGGTTGAAAGCGTAGATTTAACTAGGGATATTTACGTCTTTCCTCACAATTAGCAATATCGTTGTGGATAATTTTGATGGGAGCATATTTTAAATGGACATGATTATTGCCATTGTGATGGTAATTGTTGTCACTAGATTCAATATTTAGTTTGGATGGATGATAACGTTCAAAGCTCATTCTTATAGACGATAAATTATAAATAAATTATTATATAAAAATGATCAATTAAATTTTCATTATCAGGAATTAAATAAATTAAAATAATTATTTGATAGATAATAAAAATTGATATAAGTATTTTATCATTATTATTTTACATTCTTATGAGACTATAAATAATATAAGAAATAAATAATTACCAATAGAGTTGATGTTTTTTATTAAAGTAAAGTCGTAGAATGTTTTTTAGGGATTAATTCTTTAGAATCCACTAATTATTTAAGTGTTTTATAGATATTGACAGCTTCTAATATCTTATAATCTCCAATACTACTATTATTTTGACTTCTATTAAATTGATTATTTGAATAAAACTAAAAATCAAATATTAAATTTTACTTATTGTGTTGTATTAGCTTTGGTAGAACTCAGATCATATGTATGATTAGAGGTTTATTTTAAAATAGTTTTGACAGGGGAAGTCTTTTCACTCTCTGAATTTCTCTTTTAAGATAGTTATTTTAAAGGAGGTTTGGGTATTTTACGTTCACTAGAAATCACTTTGATTGACTTTATAACATTAGCTTCAATATTAACTGATTTAGTTTTTTTTTTAACAATTTTTTTTTCTGATTAAGTGTTAATTTATAGAAAATCATAGGGTTTAGATTAATCGTTAGTTTTTGGTTCTTCATTCTTTTTTTGATTAGAATAATTACGAATAGATTCAGCAAGTTTAGAATAAGAATTTTCAGCTATTTTATTGATTTTATTAGATTTTTATCTATTTGTATAATAGCTTTAATTCCTATTCTAAATTGAAGTCTTCTATTCAGATTTGGATAATTCCGTTTAATTTATTGTTTTGGTCAATATTTTAGAATTGGAATATTATTTATCTAAATATAGTGGTTTAGTTCTATTAGTATTATGATCATTGGTCATTTTTTATATTTCCATATCAATATTACCAATGTCCTTTAACAATGAACTCTTAACTATTTTTTTTAATTGTATTTCTTTAGAAGTTTCTCCTACACATTAATTTGTTGGACTGAGCTTTTAATGTAATTTTGGTTGTTCATTTTTGGATAGGATATTATATTTTGATTGTTACTGTTATTTTTGGACTTTTGTATATTGATCAATTAAATTTCCTAAAAGTTTTTTCTTTCTCTTGATAGAATATTTAGTGGTTACCTTTCCTCGAATATAAGAGCTGCTTCATCCTCATTCATTTTACTCAACTTCATTTGCGTCACTTAATTAATTATTTATAAATTTTAGTTATTATAATAAATATATATCAACATCGATCATTAAGATTAAATAAACTAACCAGATATCCTTTCTTGATTTGGTTATTGTGTACAAAAAGTTTAAGGTTCTTCATCTGATCCAAATAGAGATTATTCCATTTCTTCAATAGATTCTTTTTTACTTTTAGGCCATTTTTCTTTTTCATAAATCCTTCTTATTAAATCCTTTTTATTTTATTTCTTTGCATGAGAAATCTATGAATATGTAGTCATAACATCATCATCAACTGTTGTTTTATTAAGTTTTTATTGGAAGATTGAAGATATATTTAAATCAGAATCTTAAAACACTCTAAAAACAACTCTCTCCTTTTGAGATTCCAAATACACTTTTCCTAATGTATATTAATGAACATTCTTATTTAATTGATACTTCTTATGTACTACAACATGAATTTTACATTATTACATAGACTATCAAGGAAACTGATTTTTGGCTTAAGATCACTTAAATCTAATTAAGGGAAATGTTTTCTACTTGCTCTTCCTTTGATCTCTGTTGAGTGTATTTCCTTGCTCATTAATTTAAATATTGTTGTGTTCGATTTCTTTTGACTTCGAATTTTATATA